TTATTTGGATTTAGAGAAAATAAATATAATACTAAAATTTAAATCTTAAAATAGTTAGGCTTTAACATAATAAGGTAGAAACTTCCTCACAAATGAAGACCTACCTTGAACTTTATACAAGACTAATAAATCGAAACACAACCTAGAAAAATAATTAAACAACAATGCAACCTATCTTAAGTAGGGTGTACTAGATTATATGTCTTTTTTTTACTTAACTAGTCCCTTACTTAGACTTTCGTAAACCATAAATTTTTCAATAACCATAATATTAGTTGACAAATTATGAACATATAATCATAATTTTATGATTATACTCAAACTTCTCCTTTTAACACCTTTCAGGAGACAAACCCACCGTCATTCTCTACATTGTACACAACACGATATGTACAAAATATCATAGAGGAGATTAGTTTTGTTTCTTTATTTTCAATGTATTAAAACAAAAACAATAATATAATGATAATTATTAGGACTAATGCTAATTCATCCACCTCAAACACTTTTGGCAACTCTTTTTCAAGTTTGATATATAGAGTCTATTTATTTTTATGTTTTAAAAGTATTTTAAAAAAAAATAAATTTTTTTATTTCTTTTCTTTGCTTAAAATTAATATTTTTTTTATTTTCATATTGTTTTGATGTACTGATATTAAAAATAAATTTTAAAATATTAAAAAAATTATTTTAATTTATTTATAAATAAAAAATATTTTAAAAAATAATCATTGTACAATGTCAGAGAAGTTTATAATCTGTATCATTGATATATATTTCAAACACTGTTATGCGAGATAAAATAATATCAATAAGAAATTGAAAACTATGAATCTACATAGCTTGATTAATCTTAACTTTCCGGAAGAAATGCCAATTTCAAATTCCAAGAGAGTTTTGAATTAAAAACAATCTAATTTATTAGGTTTATTCAAGGGCTAGCCAAGTTTTTTTCAAACTAAGTTAGATATTGGCTTGGTCAAATTTAAATAATCTGTTGGATCAATATATGATTAAAAAAAAAAACTAGAGTAATACTTAACAAAACAAACACCAAGATTTTAAAAAAAAAATTCTTATCTAAAACAGCATCATTCGATATTTTAAGAAGAATTATTCATAACATTGTTATTTCATTTGAATGATGGTCTTAGAACTATCATTGGTGAACTGTCTCTCGAGTTCGAAACTATAAATCATAATTAGAAATTATTCTCAAAGAACATGTGTAATCCATCCAAGAAGGTAAGAGGTGCTGGCGACACATGCTCCTCTTTATTATTAGCCCATGGCATCATTGATGGCTTGTTGTCGCCATTCTTGCTCTTGCTTGCAAGGTGACCTATTCTTTCTGAATTCTCCGGCTCCTTTGCTATGTAACCACCTGTCTTCTTGATCGTGGAAGAGAGCAGAGGCACCCCATATTCATCACCAAAGTAATCAGCACAAATTGCACTTGCTGAACCAAAAACAGACGACATTGTGTCACAAAAGGCTATAATTTCCAAGTTCTCGAAGCAAAACTTAGCGTGTGTGACAAAAGATTGGAATTATATGGCCTTATATAGAAGGTACCTTGTCCGAAAAGAAATAACAATTTGGTGCAAGGGACTTAAAATTAGGGTCGGTCATGTACTTGTCAAACACTCTTTCTTACAATATTCCTGAATTACTTGGGAAATTTCCTTGAATGAACATCCTGGCAAGCACATGTTTGCCAACTCGATCCCGTAGCTAATGAGAACAACCTAAATTTACTTTTATTCGTTTAGGGTTTAAAAAATTTCCCACTTGGGTATAATCAAGCAAGACTAAACTAGCAAGAAGCTACAAAATTTCTCGATCTATTTAATTTAAGTCAATTCATTTTTTTAGAATGGTATTTTGCTCGTACTTGAAGAATAATAGAGATCAAACGTGAAAAGAATAATTAATCTGATGAAGAAAAAGGTTAATTTTGTGTCCAAAATAATTGATTTTAGCCTTGAAAATGGCTATAATTAACGTGTGGATCATGTTATTCCATGGATATCATGATGTATTTTTCTTTTTTTTCTTTTCTTTTTTTTTTTGAATCATGCTTTTCAATTTTTGGAATCATGATTTTAGTAATAGACACACGATTTCTATATTTTATTAATTAGCTTTCAAACGATTTCTATAATTTTAGATGATTGGTATCTAATTGATAAAATGTAGAAGTTTTTGGCTCCATCATAAGCGAGCATATAGATTTGAGATTAAATTGGTATTTCTCGTGAAAACTAATGTTATTAAATTATGTTTTTTCTTAGATTCAAATCTTTAGATGATCATCTAAAAAAAATTAAATTTCTCTAAATATACTAGATTGATCTAGTGGATTCATTCTTAAATTTATTTTTTTAAAAAATATTTTTATTAATACACAAACTAATCTAAAATAATTTTACTGTTTGGATAATATCCATCAAATTTTTGGATAATTTGTTGAAATACTAAATTTGGTTTGTATATATTACTAAAAATATTGAGATATTTGGGATTAAAAATACTTAAAGAAACAATGAACTAGACTAGTGTTTTTTTCATATGGACTTTTTGGTCACCTAATTTTGCTTTTTAATTTGATTCTCTTTCGTTATGTTGATTTATTTTTAGTGGGCTTGGTATAAGTCCTTGCGGTATTGGTAAACAAAGCCAACACTTAATTAATAATTGATTTAATAAAATTAAAATTAATTTTGTTTTTTTTACTAAATCCTTCCAATTTTTTTTTTATATTTGATTTTTTTAACTTAATTTTTTTTTATTTGATCCTTTTACATCATGGTTATTTAAGGTTGGCTTGATGATTTGTTATAGTTAGCTAGGTATGGAGTCCTCATGGTGACAATAAAAAAAAATATAATGCTTGGTTGATGCTTTATTTGAAAAAATCAAATTAGATTTTGTTGAAATGTCTCCATATTAAATCCTTTTAGGTTATTTTTTTTCACTCAAGTTCTTTTTTTTTTTTAATTTGATTATTTTTTATTATATTGATATAGCATTAGGCTTGGTGATTTGTTTTAATTGGTTTAGTATGAGATTCCTGTAGTGTTACGAAACAAATATGATACTCAATTGCTGCTTGATTAAGAAAAATCAAGTTTAGTTTTGTTAATTTTTTTAAATTAAATCCTTTTGTGGCCAATTTAATGAGTTATCGGTGGAATTTATAATAAAAAACAAAATCCAAAGAAAAAGAATCAAAATAAAAAAAGAAACCACATATTTAATCTAAAAATTACACAAAAGGTCATTTAAGTTCAGAAACATGTTTTATTTATTTTTTAAACTCTAGATTGAGAGAAGAGGGAGAATCTCATTAAAAAAAATAATGAAAGAGAGAGAAGTTGTTAGTTGGTCACTTTCAAGTAACTAATACCAATGATCTTAGTGTTGATGATATTTATTTATATTAATTTTTTTTTGTATTTTTATAATTTTAAGAATCCATGAAAAAAAGCTTTTTATTTAAAATATATATATCAATAAAAAATGGAGAAAAAGTATACTATGATATATTTTTTGATAGAGTTTAAATTATTATTTATTTCTAATAAAAAATAATTTTATTATCTTATAACTAAATAAAAAAAATTAAAACGCAAGGTAAGATTAGATAGTTTAATATACATTTTTATCTCATCTTTTCTATTTTATTTTTTGTTCAAATTAATAAATATTTTAATATTTATTAAAATATATAATTTTATTGAACTAGTATTATTTTACAGTTAAGATTTTTGTAGAAAATAAAAAAAAAAGTTTAATCATTTTCTGTGTTGAAAAAAATTGCTTCATCCCGCTTGGAGAATCAAGGTAATTTACTTATAAAACATGAAAGAGAAAGGGGCACGCACCAAGCGTGTTTGTATAATAAAATATATAAATAACATTCCTTTTTACTGCAATGCATCATCGTAGTCGTTATTAATAGGGGGCCATAAAAACTTAGAGAATCTAAATCGAACGGCATCGAGCTCCGGCAAAACGATCACCCTTTCCAACTGCCAACATGTCAGCCACCGTACCTTTCTCTCCCATCAAAACTATTTATTAATTAGTTTGGTAATAAAAATTTGGAATCAATAAATTTATTCTTTTTATAGTTTTAAGCTCTTGATAATTAAAATTTTTATATAATTATTAATTTTAAAATTTATAAAGTTAATTAAAATTCTACCCGTTTCACTTTAATTTTTTTTTAAAAAAAATCACTAACTCCTTACTTACCCACCTAATTCCCTACGCCACCTAACTCTCTAATCCCTTCTCAGACCTTCAGTCGAAGATTGACCCTAGAAAGGGTCTGGAACGCTGCCTGATCGTTATTGCATTTTTAACTGTTTTTTTTTTGTGATTGGGTTTTTAAAATATATTTAGTTTAAAAAAATATTAAAATAATAGTTTTTTGATCGTTATTGCATTTTTAACTGTTTTTTTGTGATTGGGTTTTAAAAATATATTTAGTTTTAAAAAATATTAAAATAATAGTTTTTTAATATTTTTAGATAATTTTTACCTATTAATAGTAAAATTTCAAAAAATAATTTTTATATTGTTTTCAAGTAAAATATATTTTGTATCACAATATCAAATATATAATAAATTATTGAGTTATCAAGTAGGTTGTTTTTACGGCTTGAATTAATTATTTTTATTAAAAGTAATTTTATTTTTTAATTTTATTTAATGTTGGTAAAATTAAATCTGGATTAGATTAATTCAAGGTAAATATTTTATCTTTTTTTTACTAGAAAATATGAAACCTCATCGCATTTTCATGATGCCACGTTGACAATCTCATGCATTATGGTAGGTAGGAGGAGCGGAGATAAGACCGATTAAAATAAGAAATTAATATTAACTTAGTGCTATTAAATTTACATTAAAATCCACGTGAGACGGATCTTAAAGCAAAATTAAATTCCATTAACCTGGGAAACCCTCCACCGCTGTATAAAAAGGCCAAAAACATTGAAAACGAAGGTCACAAAACTCAAGAAACACAATTTCTGTCGACGTCTGGTTGTGGTAGAGATCCGGCGAGAACGACTCGTCGGATTTCGCCCATTTTAAGCCTTCAAATCTCTTCTTCACTCAAATCCCACATTAAGAGGAAAACCCATCAAGAAAACATGAAGGGTTCGTGCACTCTTGTTGCTTCTGTTCTTACTGTCTCCACTGTAGCTTTATCATCATCAGCCCCACCTTCTTCTCCTGTGGTTGAGGTTCTTTTTCTTTCTTCTGGGTAGAAGATGTTGTAGCATTTGATGGTTAACTCGATGTAAATCCTGACCGTTGATATGTTTGTTGTTTTGAAGGGTTCATCAAGATCATCTTCAATGGAGGAAAGTGGTGGGTCTAATAAGGAGAAATTTGCGCCAAGATTTGATGGATTAAGGTTTATCGAGACCCTTGTCACGGCTCACAGATAATTACTGAGTTAACCATTAATAATCTCTGTTAATTTTGTTATTTTGAGGGATTAAGATGTGACTAAAGAGAGATTTTGAGGGATTAAGATGTGACTAAAGAGGGAAGGATTTTTATTTTTATTTTTGTGGAATGGTGTTTACCTGGTGACTTTGTGTTTTTCTCTTTAATGTCATTGTGCTCTTGTTATTTTGGATTTTTTTTTATTATTTTGTAATCTGACTTATAATTATTATTGTTTTTGTTGCTAATTTGGTATAAAAAGAATTAATCAGGAGGTCTGGCGTGTTTTGTTATTATTATTATTATTTTGGGTTACCTTTATGTTTCATGGCATTGATTTGTGTGCATGGGAAACAGCTACCTGAGAGTCGGGATGTGCTATGTGTGTCTTAAAGAGAGGTGAACTGGTTGTCAGATTTCGTTTTGTTCATGAGCTGTCAAAATTAGGTTTTTATGAAGAAAAAAGATGGAGATCAGCTGTGTCGGAGATGATATGCTTTGAAGGGGAAGGCAGGGATTAGATTATAAAAGATTTGACATTTTTTACATTGGATGGATGGTTAAGTTTAGATTAAGAGACGTTTGAAGTGATGCTTTTGATCTTGGAAACATTGTTGCAAGTGTTCCCAAATAAATTCTAAAGATGTGTTTGGCGTTGTGTTGATGACTTGAAAAGAAAAAAAAACTGATTTTTTTTATAATTTTAATCTATTGATATTAAAAATACAAAAAAAAAGATATATTTTTAAAAAGTACTTAAAAAACATAAGTTATTGCAAGTCTTTGTTTTAAAAATTATTTCCAAAAAAATTAAAATATTTTATATTTTTATTATTTTATTTTTATATTATTTTGATGTATTGATATTAAAAGTAAATTTTAAAAAATTGAAAAACATATTATTACAATATATTTTCAAGATAAAGGTATTTTAAAAAATAATTATTTTTGTAATATTAATATTATAGTTTTTTTAATTCAATTTTTCACTGAGAAGCATAAAAATTAAATATGCATCTCCAGTACAATTAGTTTATGCAATTATTGGATGGAGTGTGACCCAAAATAGGCAATCTAACAACCGACTTTGTGATTTCAAGCTTGCTTGAAAGCTTCATCAAACAAGAGTTCAGCATCTAGTTGTGTATTTGAAAATATTAAAAAAATGTGGTTATGTATATATTAAAATAATAGTTTTTTTATTTTTAAAATTAACGCAACACATCAAATTATTTGAAAATATTAAAAAAATTAATTTTTATAAAAATAAAAAATTACTTTTTTAAAAAATACAGTTGAACTGCGGTGCAATCAGGCCTTTGTCTGGTGGGTTGATGCCGGTGGTGGGCGGTTGCTGCTTAGCGTGTTTTTAGCTTATACTTGCATAGGAAATGAAGAGTGGGATGGAAGGATTTGCATGCTGAAGGGACGTGTAGACAAAGAAGAAGAACATAAACAGCTGCTGTGATGGATTCATGGCCATGTTTAGCCCATTGCTGTTGATATTTCTTTCTTCTTACACAAACCTCAACAAAAATGGTTAAAGTGTCCAGCTTAGCTATGCATAAATAATCTAGTCTTACAGATTTGGTGTTGCCAAAGTGCCATTGCCATTCATGAATCATGGATGCTGCACTATTTTTTTATTTGTTTTTCTAGTTCTAAGCAAAATTCCACTGTTTTCCTGGGCAACTTGCAAGATTCATGTGAATAGTTTGGAAGTTTGGAGTTTCAGGGCTTGAAATTGAGGCACTCGCCACTCCTGTGACCGACACCGACAACATTGATTTGCTGAAAAAAAATGAGTGATGTTATTTTAATTAGTATTTGATTTACTTCTGACTATGGAGTTTATACTTGTCTTGGTCTATTTTTTCTTAATTTGTTTTAATTAAGAACTCTTTCAAGTTAAGTTCAATATCCCAACTATAAAATTCTTTATACTTCTTTGGTTGTTATGTTGTTAATTTGTTATAATGTTCTCAAAATCTAAATTTTCCTAATTATTGTTGTTAGGTGCCATACATAGAGAGTTAGAGATACAAAATGCCAAAATCTAGTTTTTTTCCTTGCAATTATTTATTATGATTATTCCTTGGAAGATTTGGTGGGTTTTAAACTATATTATTAAGATAATCTTTTCTCATTCTTGGAAAAATTACTATTGAATCTAAAAAATCATTCGAGATGAAGATTTGGTGGGTTAATTATAATTGTTAGACCTAGCTTAAAAATTAATTTAGAAAAAAATATAGGTCATCAATTATTGAAAATAATTTTAAAAAATATAAAAATATAATTAAAACTAAAAATTTATCGGTTATATTTTCATTTTTTTTAGTAATTCAAAGTGTTCAACTCAATTTATATAGAGTTAGAGATACAAAATGCCAAAATCTAGTTTTTTTCCTTGCAATTATTTATTATGATTATTCCTTGGAAGATTTGGTGGGTTTTAAACTATATTATTAAGATAATCTTTTCTCATTCTTGGAAAAATTACTATTGAATCTAAAAAATCATTCGAGATGAAGATTTGGTGGGTTAATTATAATTGTTAGACCTAGCTTAAAAATTAATTTAGAAAAAAATATAGGTCATCAATTATTGAGTTAATTATTTTTATTAAAATAATAATTTTTTTATATTAAGTTGACTAAGTTTAGATTGTGTTTAATTAAATTAATCATGTTATTAAAAACTCAATCACATTAATTTTTATCAAATCAAATGTTAGAAAACAAAATTAAAAAAAAATTATAATTTTTAAAAGGTAAAAAAAAACCTCACATTAATTTTTATCAAATCAAATGTTAAAAAAAAATTAAAAAAAAATATAATTTTTAAAAGGTAAAAAAAAACTCCATCCAAACTTACTTAAATTAACATGCTAAATTTATAACTTAGTCGTAATACCAGGATAATTTTATAAAAAATAAATTAAATAAAATTATAAAACTCATTTATTACATGCTTCAATATTAAAAGATAAAACTAAAAGATAAATAATTTTTTAAAACAAAACAATAAAAAAGAACTACATAAGATAATAAGAAAATTACCGAGGCAAATCCTAAATTAAGCAAAAGTGAAGGAGTCAAGCAAAAGTGAAATTTAAGATAAAAGGTTGAGGGATTGAAATTAAAAAAAGAGACGCAAACTTTTTTTTTGTACAAATCAATCATTGATGCTAACAAAAAGAAAAGCGACTAAACATTTCTTAAAACTTCAAATTATATTAAATCAATGAAATTAAATTTTACTTCACCAAGCTGATAATTAACCGAGCCATGAAACAATTCCTTAGCACCTCGAGATCTCCATAAACATGTATGGAAAACAAATCACTAAGACCTATTACAAATCAAACTAGTTTGAATGGACCAAATAAAAAGACAAAGATATAGAGGGATGAAAGTATAAAAATCCTAGGGATAAAAAAAGAAAGAAGAGAAGATGTCCGAATGAACAGTGCATCCCCTCAAAGTCTACGGTGAATGATGACTAAGGGGACTTAGTTGTTTTTTTTTATAAATATAAATATAATTTATAATTTATAATAATTGTCACAGCTAAGAGCAAAACAACTTCTCTCACCCTCAGATTCTTAGCCATTCAAGTTACAACTATAAGATAATGAAGTATTCAAGTCTGAAACCCCATGGGCACGATTATTTCAAAAAATGAAATAAAATTGAGGCCAATAGTTGTCTTTTAAAAAATACCATGGAATAATGAGGGTCACAGGGACTCACAGGCAGACATCAGTTCATGTAAGGGCATTTTAACAGAGACCACAAGCTTGCTGGAGGACATCAGCTAGACCTTTCATGGGCCATGGAGCTCGATGTGCGACTTCAGATCAAGCCACATGCTTGAGGCACCAATGCAAGGGTGGTTTTCAAGAAAATCCCAGCTGGAAATTTTGACCTTTTCATATCAGTACAGAACAATAATCTTATTAAATGATCATCTTCAATAAACCATCCATGTTTGTTTTATTCTGTTCTCTTGTTAATTCATTTTGCATCTTCCTTCTGCTATAACGTATTCTTGCCCTGCAGCTTGTTCTTTCAAACAAACACATTGATTATTAATTGATCTCTTTGACTAAAAAATAAAATAAAATTATGGTTCTTCTAAATGGTTAAGAACTCAAGCAACTAAAGAACTCTCCTCCATTGGAGTAGCCCATACATGCTTTACTTAGGTACCATTTGTATTTGTAGTTACATAGTGTTTTTGAAAAAATTAATTTTTTTAAATTAATTTTTTAGATTATTTTGATGTGTTGATATTAAAAATAATTTTTTAAAAATAAAAAAAATATATATTATTTTAATATATTTTCAAACAAAAAATACTTTTACAAAAATTACTAAATCTTTAACCCCTTTCTCGTTATAAGATGGGTAGTGCTTGTCTCAAGATGAGGCCCTTTCTCATTATAAGATGGGTAGTGCTTGTCTCAAGATGAGGACGTGAGTACTCTTTTGCAAGAATGGCCACACGAAGAGGAGGAAGAAAAAAAGCAAAGTAGAAGAAGCATGAAGATGTATCCCTTGAATATGTGCATGGTGATACCCCAGTTTTAAGAAGGAAGAAGACGCACAAGATGATTCGGATCCCAACTTTAAATGCAAGAATTAGGAAAGAGATTGATGGAGAATGGTCTGATTCTCTGAAACTTGATGTTAATGATGAACTTTTGAATACTTTTTTTGGTTCTTTTTTTGCAAGGAAATGATTAAAGCTAGATTATTCGGATGAAGAACAGAGTTATAATCCTTGACTATGCATAGTTAGCAGGGCGCGGAGCAAGAAAAAAAAATTGAGAGGGTGAAATTAAAAAATTATTTTATTGAAATATATATTAAATAAGGAAAAAATAGACTAGGACAATTTTTCTTTTAGGTTGGGGCCCTACCAACACCTCCTGCCTCCGCCACTAATCATTAGTTATTTTACAAGTGTATTAGGTTTTGGATTTTTTTTAATGAAGTGAATGGTTTTTTTTATATATATATATAATTAATGAAATTTTTTTAGATTAATATGGATATCCGATAGG